ATAAAACAATCACACTAGTAGTTATATATTCATCAATAACTTTTTACTATTTGAATGGTAAATCATAAGGTTATGTTTGATTAATACAATTTTTTTTTGACAATTAAGGTCAACATAAAATCACCACCTTTTATAACATCCACTCCAGATTTGCACAAGTCTCTAATACAACATAACCCATGACCATCAATAAAATTCATTCGATCAAATTGAGTCGACTTTCTCTAACGAAATAGATTAAATATCAAATTGACCTGAGATGATGAAACCATCCACTTTAAGCTTATGGTGATAAAATCATATAACATAAACCTAAATTTATTTACTACACACTACATATTCAATACTTAATGACTATCTTAATCTAAAGTGCTCTCCCATTATTATGATGGATAATCACATGCTATTGTGCTTATAAAAAATCTAGAACCTCAAATCCTAAAAACCTTCACAAAATAAGAATGAAATATTTGGATGGTGTCTATCTACTATCTAATATGCCCTTTAAAATTTGACCCTAACCAGATACAAAGGTCTCAATGAGTGTGGGACGTAAGGAGCCCACAAACCCGAAAAACTATAAAGGCAGACGACAAGCACATGGATAAGCAATATCACCATTTAAGTAGTGGAGATCATCAATTTGGTGATCATAGAGAAAATAGATCAAACAAATAAGATACTTAAACTGCACCTTTACAATTATCGAGTAAACTGTAAAGGATCCAGACATCTCTGAGGATCCGCACCCATGTTATGCCTATCAATGAAAAAATCTTGAGGCAACAGACAATCAAGTTAGTAGTGTCTAATAAATAAGCAAGGAATACAGATAAAAACCAAAACCAAATACATTTCTTCCTATCGGGCGGAAGTTGAAGGCTTATTAGCCCTATCATCTTTTTATCAACGTATTGGGCACATTATTGAAATATAAAAAAAATAAATGCTTTAGCCTAGCTTATGCTATTTTATCTGCAATACAATAGCCAATTCCTTCCCCTTCAACTATCTTGGAGTGACAAAATCCGGCACCTGGGAGCTAGGAAATCTCATCATCTTGTAACCCACCAATAATGAGTTTCAACATATGTTACGAGCAAGTGTTTTAGAACATGTAGTACTATGCATCTCTGTTACCTGTCCTCCGGATTGCGTCTTGTGCATCACCAGCAAGCACTCTCTGGTTTACGTTGGCCCGTTGGACGAGACGAACCAGCGCTTGCACTACTTCTGACATCGGTGGTCTGAACTCTGGCTCAGGCTGTTAAACATGGAACTCTTCTTGTTATTATTGCTCATTGTAACAGTTTTTTGTAGCAAAAATGCATGGAAGGGCTTTGGAATGTAGAAATTATATTTCGAGGAATCAGGTCATAATAAGGATAAAAAAAGGGTAACACAATTTGATAGCAGCATTACCTGAACACATATGGCAATAACATCAGCAAATCGAGAAAGAGATTTTGCAGGGTAGAGCCCCTGGAGTTGTGGGTCGACCATCTTGTCAAGAGCATCAATGTCATGGAGCTGAGGAGTCGCCCATCGAACCAAGTGTTGCTCAGATCTTGGTCTAGAGCTGCCATGATGAAGTTTTAAGTTTTCAGACGAAAATGTTGAGGATCGAACGAGTGGAATAGGACAAAAATGATTAAAATTCAGCCCTGATCCTTTAAAAATGCTAGGTAGTGTGTAAAAAAATAAAATTGTAATGATTTACCTATCAAAAGGTTTTCTTCCGGTCAGGAGCTCTAGCATGACTACTCCAAAGCTATACACGTCGCTCTTCAGAGTGTACTGCCCAAACATGTCAACCTCAGGAGCATTGTATCCAGAAGCCAGGTTATGATTTGCACCCTACAAAGAGTTACAAAATTATGTTGGAATCATATTAACAAAAATTAGGAGCAACTGCACGCGCATCATTTTACAGTCTCCCAGCACCGCTGATTGAAATCGGTTCACCATGGCATTTCTTAAGCTAATTATCAGAAAAAGTAAAAAAGAAAAAGAAAAAAAAAACACAATGTTAATTGAATCACAAATAAAAAAGAAGGAAATTTATCTGAGATCTTAAAGTTTGCATTCATTTATTATTTAGTCCCATTCTTCGAATAAAAGTTATCAGTCCTAATACAAGAAATATAATTTTAATTCACATTTTCCTATACAAAAAAAGTGGGTGGTGGGGGTGGGTCTTTTGGAATGGGTGGTTGAAAAAGGCTAGGAGCTTGTGGCAGTAAGCGAGAAAGATAAAGGTGAATTCCATAGCATAAATAATAAATAAGATTAGATGTTTAAATTGAATAAGATTAAAAGTAAACAAAGTAGCCTACAGATAAAATAAACCATGACCAACTCAATGAATTATTTAATTTGCCCAATAATATAACAGGGCTGTAGAATTCGACTACCTAGGCCAAAATATGTATCATACTCAAATCTAAGACACCAGGGAAAGGTTTAACTTACAGCACATTTGGTGCAGCTGTGTGGCAGCAGATCGCAAATACCAACATTTGAATAACACTTTTTTGGCGTTTTAAATGACACGGCATGTTGTAGGTGGGACCATTTCAAGTTGCGAGTCTCTATGCACGTTCCGTGTTTTTCAATGGGTTTCACTCTGCCCTAACTTCGACCTTCTTTCTGCCATACAACAAAGGATCTGGCGTTTTAAATGAGACGGCATGTTGTAGGTGGCATGTTTATTCCACCCACCACCCCCCCTGCCCTGATTTTTGTGGGTTTGTTTCTACTATTTTTTTATATTGCCTGCATTTGTGGGATTTCGGTTAGCTATGCATCCATCGTGGTTTAATTTTTAACATTGCATCTACGTTGGTTTGGAGCACTCTGCCTTAAAATTGATTGATGTTTTCTCTATGTTGGTTTGCATTTCGAACATACGTAGTGGTTTGAGTTTTCTGTGGGCATATGTTACCGGTCTCTGAGTTGGTTTGCATTCGGAAAATATGTTCTTCTCTGTGTATGTTCGATTATGTTTTTGGGAATTTGATCTATTGGGAAAGTGGGAATGTGAAATCT